TGTTGCAATGCAGCCAGTTCTGATGGCGCCACGCACGTGGTGTAGGGTGGCTGTGAAGCAGTGTTTTATGTCGATGTACCTGTGAATACTGTGTCTGTTGTTGTGTATTGAGGAGCAAATGAAATATGTAGCCAGTTGCAGTGACTGCTCGTGGTAGTATGTGTTTCGTAGTGACTTGTGCTTTCTTTTAGGCCTCTATCTCATAGAAGTACAGCATTTCTTCGAAGGAGGAGTTAGGTGTCGGTGGCACGTTTTCCTGTGCCACTGTCTGTATGTTGTCGCCGTTACATGCATTTTAGCCACAGGCTTAAGTACACTGTCTGGTCCACTGTCAAATACACACGTGCAATGAGTCGTCGCTGTTTGTTGAGTCTGCCTCACGTGTTTCTGTAATTGCTTCTCGTGTTCATATCTTAGGACCTCAGAATCATTTTTTACACCATTCGTAACATTGATGCGGACAAGCTGGCGCGAGTTGGCTAGCGCAAAATCCACATGCTTTTTTGTTCATGACTGTTCTTTCGTACGCACTTACACTTACGATGCATTGACAACTGTGTTAACTGCACTGCTTGCTCGTTCGTATCAGTCCTTTGCTTTAATTGTAGTGTCCGCATGGTGAACTCTCTACTCCGACACTGGATCGGCTTGCACACGCTTTTTGGACGGCGTTGCCTGAAGACGAGCGATCGCTCTCTTCGAGACATGTAGTTTTTTGCCCGATTGTATTGCAACAGAATCTGAGCAGCAGTTCGCTGAACGAGTTTCAACTGAAAGAGTCAAAAGATTCACCGTCGTCGTCGTCGTTCAGTCATGTTGTATTCACGCCGTCTGGCTGGGTGAAAGAAAAAATGTCCGCTGGCCAATCTGCCTATGAAGAGATCGTACGAAAGCTTCAGCGTGAAGCTGCGAAGCGACCCACTTACCTCGTTCCGCTGGCCAGCCAACACTCTAGTGCTGCAAAGTACAGTGACACTATCACAAAACACCCTACCCCCACCGACGTCGGTGGCGCAGACACCGAACATAAACACTCGCAAACACGGCTGCCTGAAATGACTAAATCTCTGAATATCCTCGCTTGCGAGTCAGACCATCATTATCGACCCCGAGGACAAGGAGGAGGAAGCTGTGGCGGCGGCGGCGGCGGTGGCAGCTGCGACAACGACGTTCGTCTCGTAAATGTCCCATCTGTGCTCGCCCGTTCGTCCCCACCTAGTGACTCGCCTTCCGGCGACGGAGTAGAGAAGCCGTTGCATGCTGAAGGAAGCAGCTCTGTGTCTGCGTGTTATGGTTTTATTGCTCCGAAGTCTGATGAAAAAGTATGCTTTATAATGCTTTATTTTTTCTTAAAGCTAACTGCGAATGAAGGCGGCAGGACAGAAATACTCGCGGTAAGTAACGTTTTGCACATAGTCGTTGTTAGACACGTTTACGTTTCGGTTAAGGTCGGATTAGCATTCGCTTTAGCCAAGGCGAAACCGCACCACGGTATCTTGACGCAGACGAATTTGTCGTAGCGTAATGAATAGTTTTGTGTCTGATAGCGACTTAAAAAACGTAAAGGCGCATCGTTGGAGGTGAACTGCCCAAAGTTAAGTGAAGGTTGCAAACGGATGATTCTTCCTGTTCAGTGATTAACGACTGAAACACGTGTTCTTTACATAAAAACCAACATTTCGAACGACCAACTTTACTTTCGTCGTCATCCAGCTAAGGACAGAACCGTCCTAAACAGCTTTAGGCCAGTTCAGATTTGACCGTAGTAGACAACATGCGTTTGTTGTAAAGTTGTAAGTTTCGTAATCGCCATGCATCGGAAAAGTCAAGATGGCCAATTCTGCCACTGTCAGGTCGATTTATTTGGTTTTGGTGTGAACCGACTTTTATGAACGTTTTGTCTTGTCATATTGTGTTGAATATTCTGCCCTAGTCTGGTTCAAGGATTTTTCACAACAACAAAGTGGAGGCCAAAATATTGAATTCATTTCTGAAAGTGCTCGTAGCACTTGTGAGAAGTAATAGGTTTGTCTTCCTGATTGATTTCAAAAGATTAGATCTGCATGCTGATTTTCAGTTAAGGATTCGTAAAAGCTATAAAATTTCAATAAACAGTTTTACATTATCACGTATTTTAATAGTTGCATATTGAATCAAGAAGGGTGCGGCCATATGATTTCAAAGTAGGATACATACCAACCTGTTTTTAGTAATTTCTAAAGTTCATACTGATTCTTTGACGTAAATGACTTGAAGCTGATAGGTTTTCAGCATGAAAAACCAAAAATGTATTTGCAAGTGTTCCAGCGTTGAGATTGAAATGGCATCAGTAATTTTCAGTGATTGAGCAAAATGGAAAGCAACTGCTTAGTTACTTAGTGCTTAACCCAACTGATGGGACGCCTGGCTGATCACTGATAAAGCAGTTAATCAGGCTAATGGTTAGGCACCCATTGATCCAGCCATCATAGTGGGATCATCGGCATTAAGATAAAGGAAATGGTACAGACTAGTAACGGTCGTATCTGAGCAATACGGCCGTATGGATACAGTCAACTCGATGAGTTCAGCGAGCATTTGAACTTCATCCATGACGATACCCAGTTTAGCCTGAAGTAGCTGAAGGCGAACTTCTGTTTCTTTACCTTTTATCATACCGCAAAATTGGGACATTAAGAATTACTACGTATCATATCGACTCTAGTTGGACGTTACATCAACTTCAATTCTTTTGTGATAAAATCCCTTGCAGCAGGATTATTCAGAGCTTGATAATTCATCATCATCAGCTTTTGCGATCAACTGCTGGATAAAGACCTCTCCAGGACTTCGCCAGGATCTAAATAAGTAGGATATATGGATCCGATTTATATTTGGGTAGGGGTTAAATGCACTATGCAGCTTTCGCAATAAACGTTGTTTCCTGTATAGAAGATGTTTTGTTAAAATCAGAGGAAACTGAAATTATCTACCGCATGATTTGCTCTTGTGGACACAGTTATATTGCGCAAACTGGAAGAAAGCACAATAATAGTTAACAGGAGTGACTTGAATGTGACATGTAGCAGAACATAGCATGGCCAGGCATCACAGTGGGAGACCAGAAAAAAATGGTTAGGGAACAAGCCAACTGGACAAAGAGGAAGATTTTGGAAGTCGTCGTAGCAGAACGAACACGTAGCAAGATGAATAGGCAAGAAGAAATCTGAGGTAATCTACGACAAAACATTTCAGCGTTGGTAGCGCTGTTACCGTATTATGTACGGCAGTAAACCAGTTTCGTAATTTGTCGCTTTCTTTGGTATACCTTCGTGTACTAAGTTCCACCTAGCCTTATTTTTATCAACGCATTCCAGCTTAGCCATGACTATGTATCGTGTAGCGCGCGTTATTTAAATTGGATGTATTCACACGAGGTGTGACACTTCTTACAACTGGCTCGCCATTTTGTGATGCACTTTCGTTGTTAAGTCTTGCTTCGAAATCAGAGTGGTTGCGTACTTATTGATCTATATTAAATTGTTTAAATGATAATATAGTCAAATATTTATCCAAATTCAAGAAATTTTTATGGTTTAATTTACAAGTAGCAGTCACTTTTAAAAACTGAACATTCATCTGGAATAAAAACAGAAGCACTGACGAAGTGAAATGTATGACTGTAAAGGTGATGATGTCCACTGTAACAACCTTGTTTCCTGTTCGTTGGAGCATTTCACCTCACATCCAGAAGAAAGCTGCAAACAAACAAGAATTTTTAATCACAGATGCCTCGGGTTTCGCGACTGAAATCACACATTCCATCGTGAAGCGTTCCGCGGAACCAGGCCTTGTACACCGCTAAGAACAGCAATGGTTCCTAGCACACGTTTAGTGAAGACCTCACCACCTGCCAGTCTAGGTTTGCATGATCTTTCGTTAACCGCATGAGAAACGAATACAACATACCATACGCCCATATGAACGTTACGAAATTCGTCAAAGCGCTTGTGCGGAGCGATTGCCAGACACTAGTGATCTCGCTGCCGAATGTCTGGGGTATCAGTTCAGCAATAATATACAGGAAGTACAAAAGGTTTCGAAAGTTTCAGTCGAGCTTTTTAATTTAGCACTGTGATTTTGATTCTAAAGCTCATTGGAAAATCAGACATTGTTGCAGGACATGGTGAATAAATTCAGAGTCACGAGCGTGGCCATTTCTGACAGTTGGCTGTTCTGTCCGAGGCATGCGGCTCACTCTCTGTCTTTTATCCCGTAAGCTGTAGCATTTGCTTACTACGGTCAAGATCTAACGTTCTTATACTGTTCATGTCATTGCTTATTAAGACGATCTTGAACATGGATGACATATGGTCAACGTCCATTTCGTGAAAAAATTTCTTTCAGCAGAGGATTTTGTTCACGCTGCTAGCCGTTCCTCAAGAAGCAACAACCGGTTTCATTCATCCACGACACTGACAGCGTGAGGTTTAGAAATAATTTAATGTCATTGTAGCCAAGTTTACAATAAGGCAGTGCCTTTCAATGCAAAACAGTATTTACTTTGGTACTCCGTGACCTCTGTGTCGCATATTATTGTTCCTTTGGGCATGTCGAAACCACTAGTCTGACGGCTCGCTAAAAAAATTCAGGGACCATCTAAGGCTTGATTGGCTTTTGTAGAATTGTTGTCAAAGAATCGAATCCGCTATGCATCCAGTGGTAAAGATGTGTTATTTGCCAAAGCTAACTTTCATTCAGGTTTTGTAATGACCTGTCACGAATTTAGGGTTTAATCGGGGAGGATCAAACTTGTTTCTGTTCAGTTTAATTCGCTGTCGGTTTATCTCATTCTGAAAGTCGCGAACATTCGTCTCCTGTTCTACTGCCGCGTACCGCTGTTGCATGACTAAAATCGCTTAAAGTTCAACGTTATACCTGAGTAACGTTTATTGGATCCGTGCCCTGGAATGTTGATGCATGTGTTGAGACCGCGCGAAGCTTTTCACTTTTACATTGCGTATTTGGGTGTGAGGTTTTAGAGGTAAGCTACTGCAGAGCAGTTCAGGTTCATTTACCGTTTTATCTGATCTGACCTTAACTATGGAGTTATCTGTCGTATTTCAGCTTCAGTTACTTCTTAATGTTGTGTAAACAGCTAATTGGATCCGTACCGTTTATTCGCTTGCCACGTTCTGCTGCCGGTTTTAAGCAATTAACATTTCGGTGGAATTAACGGTTTTCTGTGGTAAGTTTTAGTTGTTTCTCTTTGTGCTAATGACTTGGTAGCTGAGCCGCTGGAACGCTAAATGGGTAGTCGAACGATCATGAGGTTCGAATACCGGGCATGGTCGATCGCCTATCGTTCTTCAAAGGCAGCATGACGAATATCTGAGTGGAAAGGAAGCATGATGTTCTTATCACGTAATTATATACTTTAGATAATCACTTGAGACCTAGCAAAGCCAGTACGTTACCTGCAGGTGCATTTCCACAGAATACCACAGATAACTGAAGTCTGCTTCAAACAGGTGTACAAAATCTAGTATGTAATGCTCTGGGCTCCATGACGTCATGTCATAAATGGCCACTGGTTTTTCCTGAACGACGCGTAGGTTCGATATGTTTGTACGGAGTACCAGCTTCTGAACATCATAGATGACGAGTAAGGTATTTTACTGGAAGATTAAATGATACGATATCCGTTGCATGTTCCAAAATACCACGAGACGATAGTATGTTATAATGGGTTCGTTAAGGTCGTGGAGCCAGCACAGCGCTGAGCTCGCAGGCGAAAGATAATGGCTCAGACAAGTAATTTATCTATCATCTTTCCGAGATAGACATGGCGTAGAGCGGATATTCGACTTGTATCATGTCCGGTGTGCAGGAACGTTAACAACGACTATGCTATGAATCGATTGCTTACTGTATATGACGTTGAAGTCGTATGCTTACATGCAGTCTTCATGCCAGGTCGACAGAACTAATGGTCGGCCGACTGATATAATAGATGATCTGCTTGGTTACTCTGCCTGGCCTGTTTTTGCCTCGCTGATAACTTTTAAGTTCTTTTTAATACTAGTTTTAGTTCTAGTATTCAGTACTAGTCTTTTAGTTGTCATATTTTTAGATCAGTGTAGACAAAAAATGCTATTAGTTAAAATTTGCATTACGAAATGGTTCGATGATAGCCGTAAAATATATTTTGTTTTTAGCTGGAGATAATTAACGTGAAGCTCCAAGAAAAGTCGACAGCGGCAGAAACGACAAATCGGCGAAGGGCATGGGAAGACGGCTCCATTGACTACCTTGGAAAAGACTCT